TTTGAAGTATCTTTTGTCTCATACTTCATCATTGCTGATGAAGAGCTACAATAAATATTATCAGTAAAAATGAATTAAAAATTCAACCTGAAGATATTCAAATTTTGTGTAAAGAAGGTAAAATGTGGATATTTCATGTACTTACAATCTGCAGAACCATATTACCAATCACAATTTTAAACATTAAACTTATTAAAAAATATGAAGTAGTGTACAAATTTTGGCTCAGCTACATAGTAAATAAAGTCAACTAACTGAACAATAGATCACTTATGAAATACTGATTTTTGTTACGTACATAAAAATTTCTTTAACATTAGCAAAATTATTAAGTGCACTGATTGAAAGTTATTAATGATTAGTAATATTAGCAAATTGTCTAGTCTGCTCAATAATCCTTCCTTCTGTGCTGAATGAAACTCTGATAATAGGCTAATATCTAAATACATCAGCAGGCTAAACTTTGTTATATTGTGTTACCTTAACTTGGAATCTTGTGTTTAATGTAATTGATGTTAGTTAATTATAACAAGGAATTAATTGTAGTTATTCAAGCACTTATGTTCAACCTCAAACCTCATTTCTGAATACTTTTGTGGAAGTAAACATAAAAGTAAGACAATTATGCTTGATTTATAATAAAGATGCTTTCGTACTGCCAAAATACCATTTTGTATTTAACAGAATTATAGGTGCTGAATATATATATATACATACATATGTGTGTGGACTTACAACACTAGAAACTGGGTTTTGATACCTGTGTTGGACAGAGCACAGATAGCCCATTGTGTAGCTTTGTACTTGACTTCAAAACTTAACCTAAAATAGTTAATGAAGTCATTTAGTGCATATCTCATAATCAGCTATTTGTGTTCATTGAAACAGGACCCTTTACTAGAAACTTACGAACTTATAATTTTTGTCATGCGCAACTGTGTAGATGTATATAGTTTTAGAGAATCTTTAAAGCATTAAACAAAAAGTTTCAAATAACAATATGAAAGCTGCATAAAAATAGAAACTTTAGTCACTCGTAGAAAAAGTTTATGAATTTTTCCTTTAAATATCCGTTTGGTATTGCAGCTGGCAAGTACTAATTTGGCCATTAGTCCAACTAAACATCATATATGGTAGCCACACTTTACATGCAACAATTAAAGAAATATTTATTATGATAATGTAAATAATGTATTAATGACGTATCTGAGAAATTACAATAAATTCACACCATTAAGTATGACTAACAACTTGAAAAACCACAAGCTAGTATAAGATAACACACAAGTGCTTTTTCATATGGTTAGAAACAAGAAAGTATTGACATTTTATATTTACTCATAGTTAGTCATAGAAGTACAAAAAAAAACAGAAATGGTATAGTGATGTAAGTTAATCTGCATGTTAATAAAATGCCAATATTTTTAAAAACTATTCTATTATCAAATATTTAAGTAATAGTATCAAGTATGGATTTTTTTTTATTGAACTTCTTTCCAAGTTACTGCCTTCTCATGGGGTCAGGCCCGCTGACAGGAGGGGGGGGGGGCAACTGCCCTGGTGCCCGGGCGAATGAAACCTGGTTATGCCACAAAGCATCTTTAGGCTATATCTTCATTTAATGATAAAAACCATAGTTTTTGGCTTTTCTTTGCATATAGATGCTTGATACATTAAGAACAACTGAAATAATAATTTGAGTAATAATTGATATGTATTTGTTACTTTATAGATTTAATAGATATTTGTTGTTACTTTATTAACATTTTTACGCTTATACTGTGAGGTAAAAATGGCTGCAGCTATGGTTTGGTCTGGTTTATGAGCTCGTTGTTATCCTAATTTAGAGACTTCTTTTTAATAAATTCTTGAAAATGTTAAAAAAGAGAGCGAAAGGGGGCCCGGCGAGGATGTTTGCCCCAAGGGCCTGTGCTGGCTCTCGACGTTCCTGCATGGGGTACTTACTCATATGCAGTGCTCTGTTTGCAAAGTGGTTACATGTAATACATAGTATACTTTTGTGACATTTAGCCAATAAAAGTGTGCAACAAGTGCAATACGTTTTAGAATAATGAACATTTGGTGGGATAACTTGTGTAAGGTTTGACATACAAGACAATGCTAGCTCTTTTAAAGCACATGTAATGTTGAAACCATACCTATAGTAGTGGAAATAAATATTGATACTACACAAAAAATTCAGAACAAATCAAATCACATGCAGCACATTCTAGGCACTCCATGGCCAATTGAGTTGCTGACAACTTTGTAGAACAGTTATGCTGACATATTACTCTGTGACTAGTTGTCATCCAACCAGTCACAGAGTGCCACATCAGCTTATTGAATATATATATATATATATATATATAAACAAATTCATCGTACAACTTATCCACTATGAGTGTTGAAAACAGCTTTGCCTCTGGGAAGGGAATAATACATTATGACATACATGTACCAGCTACTGTTTTGGAGGATAAGTTATTGCGTGTGATAGATTGATGTTAAACTCTATGAATCAGTGATTACTGTAAATAAGACATTTTGCAGGTTTGAGAAATTGGAACTGTTCATAATAAAGCCAGTCAAAGAAGAAAGGTCGAACGTTCCACCAGTAATTTCAAGCATATCAGGATATGCTCCATGCAAAATATGAATTTTTTTTAGTAGAAATCTAAGTTATCCTGAGAACAGTAAAAACTGATGCCTATTGACATCGGGGAAGTAAAGACAGATCCTAATACTCTATGGCATTCTATTGTGAATGTCCCTAATTAGCTAGGGTTTTTGTTTCAGAGGAATTATTATCAGTAGAGTTCCTACCTTGACCTGCTCAAAGTTCAGATCTGAACATCAGTGAGGGCATTTAGAGCTACATGGATAAAGAGAAGGTCTGTAAGAAAACAATCATTCTGTGTAACATTCTACAGGGTTATTTGAAGAAAAAGCCCATACATTTTCATTAATAATTCTGTGACAGTATGTTAACAACATGTCCTGATCTGAAGAGAGAAAGGGACTTGCACACCAAATACTAATGAATGCAGTTTCATATTTGTAAGCTGCCATTATGGTTTAGCTTATTGTAAATCTATAAACCCAATTAAATTTCAATGCTTATGTGAATCTGATCGTTTTCCTGCAACACAAATGTTACAATATTTATTTCCATTATTTCATGTTTAGCTTAAATGTACTTCTTGGATGTTTTTAGTAGATTTAACACCGTAAAATAAACTTTTTAAATACTTGTGTATTTCTTCTGACCATTTAGAAAGATGATAATTTCTATACTTACCGCTTTCTTATTTTATTTTGGCTAAATAAATATTCAAAATTTTGCTTAAACTTCCTTGATAGTTAATCAGTTTATAAGTGCTTATAACATAGCTATTAATTAATATTAACTTCTGATCAAAGTAAGCTACCTATGTAGATAAGAACTGAAAATATGCTGAATAATGTGTATAGTTAATTTAATATGCTGCTCACACTATGTTACGTATAAGTAAAAGAATGCATTCTTTTATAAGTGAGTTAGAAAGAATCTTCAATGTGAACAAACAAAGTTGATGTGGACAGTAATTGCTTAGTTCAGAGTGACAATTTAGGAGAAAGTCTTGGAAGACTAATCTACAAAAGTAGCTCAGGTGACCTGGAGATGAAAGCCAGAAGACTTTCGATATATTTTTCCACCTGAGCTACTTTTTTATATTAGACCTCTAAGACTTTCTCCTAAAGTGTTACTCTAACCTAGGCAGTTGCTGCCCATTTCAATTTTTTTGTTTATCATTAGAATGCATTGTTTTATCAGTCAGGTACCTTTGGTGTTAATGATATTTTGGACCATAAACCTCAATAACATTTCACAAGAGTTGGCTAGCCCAGGAGACTTGGGTTATTCCTAAATCGATATACTAAGCTAACAATGCAGAATAATCATTATTCATTATTGTGTTTTATTTGTTATTCAGAGGTGCAGACACAAGATATGTGGCACTAGATGTGCCTTTTGTTGAGTGAATGTTGTTTCATCAATATAATTTATTGTAAATATTAGCAATCACAAAGCTTTGTTGGTGATATATAATATGATGAGATAAAAGTCTTCTTATGACCAGGGAGTACCGTAGATTAAAAAAAATATGGGGCTGACTTTTTATAACTGGAGGTTTGTTGTTTTTGCAGGTAGGTATACAGTAGTTTATTTATTTATAAAGAAATGAAAACATTTAGATCAGAAATTTGTGAATTTAATCATTGATTGTTAAAATAAATTTAAAAAAATATTAAGTTTTATTTTCTGTAACTAGATCTTGTGTTTAGAACACTTGTACAAATTATGGTACATTTAAAGATACAATACAAAAATATTATGATGAAAATTTATGAGACTTCCAGCAGCATTTCAAAAGTATATTTTGATGACTGGATAGAGTTCTAATATAATAATGTTAGTTTATGAATAATTAAAACACATATCAGATGAAAAAAAAAAGATTAGGTCACCATTTGGTATGTGTAGCTAACATGTGCTGGCAAATATCACAGAATTTAAAAGTGCTTGCAAAACAAACATTTACTGGGCATTTTTTAAAATAAGTATATCAATTGTATAAATATAAGCCAATATAAAGCTCAATAATTAATGTACTTTTTGAGTCTTGATACATTAGCTAATAATTCTTGCTGTATCAATGTTAGATACACTTATATGTTGAAAGGTCATATGAAGTTTTTAATTTGTATGATTCATAAGTGTTAAAGAGAACATAAAATTTAAGAAACTTTGATATTTATTTACTATTTTATCAGAACATTCTTAATTTTAGGCTAATGCATTAATATCAGACAACTCATAATTTTTGTTTTATGTTTCTTTCATTTGAGTTCTTAGATATGTAACTTCTCTTATTTTTGCACTTTAGCTTTTAAATGATGTAACTAAAAGAATAAAAGTGTTTGGTAATATTTGAATATTTGATTTGAATATTTAGGTACAACCTATACCACTAGATTTAGTCCCAAAGATGATGCGATATGGTGTGGTAGCTAGTCCCATTGTTACTATTGAGCCTCGTCGTCGTAAGTTTCATAAGCCTATTACATTGACTATTCCACTGCCACAAGCTGCTACTAATGACATACTAGACCAAAAAAATAGGTATCCATCATCACTGAGGTTGTTATGCAGCATAACAGGTAGTACCAAGTCATTTTTCTCTCTCTCCTTTGGCCATTATTTGACTTTAGTCCTTTTTATTTTACTGTATAACTTCCTACACAAAAAGTAATAATAAAATGAATATCAGAATATATATTTTCTTTGACTAATATAAAAGTAAAAACACAGAGAAGTTCTAGAATTAATACAGAAAAAAGAACAGCTAGCTGTCCCTCTGTATACAATGTTTATTAAGATTTTCAAAACTATATGATTGGTAAAAAGTAGTGAATGAAACACATCCATTAATGAAGGATAAGGGAGTTGACCAAGTCACATCTTCCCATTGGGATTTGCTAGTAGGTCCTGAAATAAAACAATATTATTCATTGGTAAAGCACAACTATAAAAAAGAATGGATTTTTTACTTATGAGTTCAAATAGATACTGTAGATTTGCAATATTAATTTCAAAAACGAATCATTTACTTGAGATTTGAAAAGTATTCAAATGGACAATATTAAATGACTGTGCAAAATTTACATACAAAAATTAATGTATGAAATACAGGATAAAAATAAAAAACACACCTCACCAAAAAAATAACAAACTGGAAATCCAACAAATTATAAAAACATGAAACTATATATAACTACAAAAACTGAACAGAGTAAACATACTAGTAACAAAAACTACATGGATATCAAAAATATTTGTTAAAATGATCAGTATCAGCAAGGTGTAGTAAAACGTTCTGTCATCTGAATATTTTTAATTTATAAATGTTTATATTACTTACTTAATTAGATGAATTTGTTGAACTAACTGCGCTTTTGAGAAATTGAGACTAACATCTTTCATCAGATAGAAATGAATAAAAACCCTATAACCCAAGCAATTTCGAAAGGTGGACCTTTTTGCTTCAGTTTGCTCCTGAAGAAGAAAGATCCACCTTTCAAAAGCACTCAGGTTATAAGGTTTTTATTCATTTCTATCAAGACTACTTGAAACTACGTGTTTTTCTAACATCATGAATCTTTCATTAGATATTAGATTTTATTATATGTTGGCTATAATTAGACTTTTTTTTTTTAAATGTACTATGGATTTGGAAAGTTTTATGTAAAATGTAATGCTCATAATTTATAAATTTTCCTATAGCTTTATTATCCATTGAAACTGTTACCGTATAACTGTATAAAAACATTTTTCCAAACATTTAAAGGAATAAAAAAACCTACTTCCAGTTTTTAAATACTTACAGTTTTAATCATTGGAAAGCAATTCATCGAAATCAGTACTAAGCCAAACTGTTATGATAAACTTTCAGCGACTACTGAATTAGACATCTTTTGGCAACTAACGTACAAATACCACACTAGCATCATTATACACAACTGGAAAAAATTCAAAATAAATCGTTTCATAAAGGTAAAACACCAGTAAAGTAAAGAATGAGTTAGCAACCCATTTTGATATACAGGGTAGACTATGGCAAACCCCTCAATAAAATAAAACAAAACTACAGTGCTGAGATGATTCATTGGACAATGATATTCCCATGAAAGACAACAGAATTAGCATCCTTAGCACTTTTTTGAGGAGATTAGCTTTAGCACACAATGCACATATTTATTTGTAAAGAGCAGAAATATGTCACATAGAATACTTCTGTTTTTTTTTATTTGTATAAAAAGCAGCATTTATGTAAAATGTGTTCCATAACGTTAAAAAAATTATTATATAAATTAGCTGATCTGCAAAACATTTGTGGTAATTTTAATACCTTTCCATTGAATTTTACTTATTCTATCATTTTCATGCACACCATTTAAGCTATGCTTTCTTGCAGGCATTATGTGTTAGATTGATAAATCCTGATCTATTTTTAAAAGTTTTATGAGGTCAGACAAACAAACTCATGGAGATGTAACTTTGTTTAATAAAACTACGTGTAAACTAAACATTAAAATGAAGTAATGGTAGTTATAATAGTGTACAGAGTATAAAATGGTTATGAGCATTTAGTGTATGACACAATTTTATGAGTTGAAACAAAGAAATTCACAAAAATGAAGAATAATATCCGTAATAAAGAAAAAGTAGCTAAAAGGTGCTTATAATAGTCTCTGAAATGAACCAAAGTTAAATTATTGTAAAGTAAATGTAAAGTTTTAATGAAGGCAAACTTAGCTGAATATGCAGAGACATCTGAATTCATGTTCACAAAGTGGTAAGCATATGGTTTTGAATGAATGCATATTTTGACCTAAGTAAGTCAAGAAAGCCCATAGAAATTGTATTTAGTGTATTGTTAATTTTTTTAAGGAAATTACATGCAGGTTATGGGTTATTTGTGTGAAATACTTTGCAAATAAAAACTAAAGTTGAAATCAAAGCCAGTAATCATGTGATGACAACAACATTGTGCCATTATATATCAGACTTGTTGCATTGAAAAGTTTAACTAAGCAAAAACAGGTAAGATGATTTTGAATTGAAAAGCCAATATGTAACTCGGACTTCTAGGACAAAGGTCTTTCTAATGATATGAGATTTGTATCATTTGATCAAGAAACTTGTGAGAAAAGTTCCAGAAAAACAAAGGCAAGCATATTATTTATATAGAATAAGAAAATAAACCTTTTTGTGTTTCATAGTTTGTTTGTTTTTTCATTTTGATCAGTTTGTAGGAATTTGAAAAAATTTAAACCCATTAGTTTTTGAGAAGCAAGTTTGCTTATTACAACTATTAATTGTAGTATAATAATAAAAATGTAATAATTAATAATAATAATAATATGTATATTATTTCTCTGTTTCTCTCACATGAAGAAAACTTCAATTTTTTGTGTGTGTGGTAAAAGACATTTTATGAAACCAAATATTCTTTCACACTATTTTGCTAAGGAGAGCATTCAAAAGAATGTTCAGTATTCCAAAAATACTAACCCTACTAACTATATTTGAATAAATGTGTAATGGATGATTATCTCATTATGTAGATTTTGGCTCCTGGATTATAGGCAAAGTAATTCAGCATCAAAATATGCCAGTGAACTTTATCGAGAAGTCATTAGTGTGCCTTTCATGGCCAAGGTTGCTGTCTTTACTAAACAGTCTGAGCTACAAGTATTCTGTATAACAGACGACAAGGAGGAGAATGCCTTAGAAATCCATAAGCATTATATACAGACAACAGAGTGTAAAGATGTTGAAGTAGGTTTAATCTATACTTTTGTTAATTTTTTTTCTTGCTGTATATCATGACATTTAGTTTCTAATTCACAACCAAATCAATGCATTCCTTAGTTTGATTTTTCTTTTTGTTTCTTTACTATGTTTGACAAAGTTTTCTGATTATATTGGAATGCTCACCCTTGATCATACTTTGAATTTTTGTTGTTAACATCAGGCTCCATACTGAAATGTTTTAAGATAGCTTTAGTAGGGAATTAGCAATGAGCTCTTTTTTTTTTAAATATAATTAATAAAACAAGACATCAAAGTTATTCAAGAAACAACCAAAAAACCAACTTTGAAGAGCGATCTACTCTAAGTTTTGAAGCAAGCGTGGGTGAAAATCCCACAATCTAAAATTGACGAGATGATTATCATGATGCCCCAAAGGATCAACGAACTCCACAAAGCGAAAGGAAGATCTACTAGATATTAATTAAATTATAAATATATCAATTCATGTGAATATGACTGAAAATTTTCATTTTTTCTGAAAAGGTGGTGTCTATTTACTTGTGACCACGCTGTGTACAAGCTAAACATGTTTCAGAGAGAACAACTTGTGTCAAAGGCTGTAAACTTTCTTATTTATCATTATATAATTTTATGATTTACTAAGAACTGTTACATACATATATAGGCAATAATTAATCATATCTAATTCTCTACTAGGATTATATTATCCAACAAAGTGGCATAGAGCTCCAAATGTTATCATTTTATACCTATTACAATAAAGGTTTTTCATAATTCATCTCTGGACATACCTAGAGATGCTTGATAGACTCCTCCATTTTAGAAATTCTGAAGAATCTGTCCCTGTTTCAAATACTTGTTTGTTGTCTTAAATTAATGCTATCCCTAAAAAAATGTCTCATTTGTCACCTCTTCTTAATTCTATTAATTTTATTAAATATATATATAGTCAATATCTATTTGCAAAATAATTTAGTTGGGTAAACAAGCGATGAGTTTGAAATATGGCCCAACTTTATGTATTTCCCTCTAGATGTGTTAACATCAACACATTCAGTAGAATTAATAAACCAATAAAAAGATATATTGGTGTATTATCACATACAGTCTTCATATTTTTAATTCTATGATAGTTTGTCAAGCATCTTAATGGTAGTTTAAAGGTTTGACGTGCAGATTTAAACCAATCAAGAAAAATACTGAGATCTTTCAGTTCAGATGTTTGTCACAAATGCCACCTTATAAGAAAAGTGTTTAGTGAAGGCTCATTTCAAAAATTTTGCTTGTGTATATGGCACTTTGATTACAATTTCTTTTTTGGTTGTTGCTGTTTTCAAATATCCTCAGAGTTAGAGCTCAATGAACTATTTTATTCTTTAATTTTAATTAAATGAAATCAAAGGGGTATAGTTAATCATTGTTTAATGATACATACTTATTCCTCCCCAGGCTTTGTTACTTTAATATGCTTGAATCTTTTATATTGGAATGATACAGTAAAAATTCACAGTTTTGTGTACTTTTGTTTAATATTGATTTAATAATCAATATTGGGCAAACACAATTGCATGAATAAAATTTGTAGAAGTAATTACTAAGTGTAGAACATAATAATAACTCCAATTTTTACATGTTTTAGAGAAACTCAAATTTTACACTTTACTATAGATCTTGCATTGAATAGTTGTTTGTGAAAAATACATGTAGATTGGAATTCTGTCTTTCATTTATAAAGATTTCATTAAGAAAATTATAACCTAATTAACCCTTGGAACCTTAAACTTGCTGTACTTAAGAAAAATTTGAATTTTTTAACTAGGTTTTGGAAGGGAAGCCTTATTACTTAGAATTTTTTGGAAATCTGGTTCCTGTGACAAATTTTGAAGAACAACTCTGTCTTACATTTCAAGCTTTCAGGGAGAACAAACTCTCATTTTTTGTACGTGCAAAGGATTCTCTACAAGATGCTACTGGTAGAATTGTTTTCATGCGGGAGCCCAAATCAGGTCATGAACATTTATCTCAGACTCCAGTATGTGATTTATACATTACACTGCCTGATGTAAGCAAGGTTAGTCTTTTTTGCGATTTTCTCAAACTTTTTTGTTTGTTAGATATCATTATATGACTTACACAGAAAAAAACAACAACACTAAATCTGTGTTATGCAGAAAACATAAAACTCTTTCCTAAATTGCACATTTCATATCTTTTTTTTTTCTGATATTTTAAATGACAAAATCATAAAATTCAGATGGCATAACATGCTAGTTCAGTCCTAGGTGGTACAATTTTTAATCAGGATTTAGTTTGTATTATCAGATCAGCAAAAGTATAGTTTTATTCCTGTGAAGATGCAGTTTATATTACTTTGATGGACCAATAGGTCCCATGTTGCCCCAAAACATTATGTTATGTTATGATTTAAATACAGTTTAGTTTATAATTTCCTTAACCTTAATCAAGTAATTTTGCTTTAAGTTTTATTCATTGGACTGATCAGCTGGAGTTCTAGTGATTGATTTCATTCATCTTAACAATAAAATATATTTCTATTAAACTTTACATCATATTTTGTCTGTTTCACTCCTTCTTCATCAAATCACTACAGCTGCTCTTTTCTTTGTCTGTATGTGTCCTACATGTATGATAATTTATATTCAAGCAAATTGTTTGTGAATTTGTAATACAACTTTGCCAGTTATTAAGCTTTGTAAAGTTAATATCAGATGACACTATATTTTTAATTTTGTTTCTTTATTCACTTTTGTGCAACTTTTTGAAACTTTAAAATTTAGGTGTAATTTCTTCAAAGAATAATCTTGTATGTTAGATTGTAAATTAGTTATTAAATTATAAGACTTATAAAGTTTTGCAAGTCCATTTCTTATGTAAGACCTCACATATTTCAACTTTCACTCACTCTTTTCAGTCTCATTAATTCTTATTTCTTTCTATTAGTTAAATTCTCTCCTGATGTCTTTTAATTTTTCTAAACATTATTGTGAAATGTCAAATCTGAACATATCTTGTTACAAGTGGCTGGAATTAAAGTTTCTGATTAATTAGATGCCCCCCTTTTATAAAAAAAAATCTTCTTTTGACCTTAGCTGGAAAGAAAACTTTTACTGCATGCTTGCATGAATAATTTATATGTAGCTTTAAATAATAAAACATTTTTTTGGCCTTGTCAACTAAATATAATGTTTCAAATTAATACTTTTTGATCAACTCAATGTTATGGCAATTGACAATTGGCTATATTTAAATCTATATCTAAATTCAAGTTGTTAACAGAAAACTCCTTCAGGAAAGTGTGTTTTAAATTGAAAAGAAATGTTTCTGAGTAGAACATGCTATTTGCTCTAATTCTTCAGTTGGCTTTAGATATATTAAAATATTGATGTAAAAAACAAAACATTTATTCAGTTTACAGAAGATTAAAAGTCACTAATATAACTTTCAATGAAGATCACATTTACTCACTTAAAAAGCTGAAATTTGCCCTTTCGTTTTTAGCAAAAGTGTAGCATGGGCATAGAGGTGGGTATCTTGGGAAGTACATTACATGAATTTTTTTGTTAAGCCTAAATTTCAGTCTTAAGATGATATGTTTATGCAAGATCCAATACATACTATTTTACACTAGACCTCACAATGTGTATTTCTAGTTTTTGTCATGTTCATCAAAATATCACAAGTCTTATGTGGCAGTTATTATGACAAATGCATACATAATAAATATGTGATGACTATTAACCTAAATTAAGGAAGTTGTTTTCAATATTCATTTATTAATAAGGAAACATATTTTAGTAATTGAAAATTAGAAATATCTTTTTAACTGTTCCCTACAGAAAGATTATGGTTTCTTTTGATTACATGAATACTATAATACTATGCTTCTTGACGTGTTCATAAATATCACCTATAATTTATATTGTATAGTTAAGTGAATATTGAATCTTAAATGTTGTTTATGTAGGTTGACGTAGAGGAAGTCAATGATATTCTCACATTGAAGAGAAACTGTGATCCACAAGAATTAGGTAACGTTTTTCATTGAAGCAGTAATTATATGAAGTATGAATTGGCACTTAGTAAAATATGATGTATAATATAATGATATATTGGTTATCTTGTTAGGTTTGTTTAATTATTCACAAAGCTACACTAGTGCTATCTGTGCTCTGCCCACCACGGGTATCAAAACCCGGTTTCTAGTGTTGTAAGTCCACAGACATGCCACTGGGGGGCATCTTGTTAGGTAAAAATTTTGTAATTTAGAAAAGTCATGAATTTTTTTATATGATAGTAGAAACTGACAGATAAGAGAGTATTCATTTTTTATACTTTTCTCCAATTGATAATCTAATATTTTATAATATGTCTTTTGAAATAGTAACTAGCAGGAAATATATTTTGGATATTTCCAAACTTACTATAATTTTTCCTATGGAACATATTAAATCCATTCAAAGTCATGTGCCAGAGTTCAGTCCTAGATGTTATTTTCTGTAGCAAGGTCTGATCACAGAAGTTGTCTAGTGTTTCATGAAATTCTTGTATAGTATCCTACTTTACCTTGTGTATTATGGAGTACTTTGTGAACTGACTCCCACACCAGAGATACTTTTAGATTCTTGTAATCTAATTTCTTACTGGTCAGCTGTAGAGAGAGGTCAAGTATGGATGGAGTTTTTGGCATTTTAGACATATTCATTTCTGTTAATTTTCTAGTCATCAAGACTGTTTCAGTCTATTCTGAAACAAAGATTATTTTAATTTTCCTTGCATTCAATACATTTCAACAATTTGGTTTTCTTTTAGTTTTACTTACATATTTGCAGTATTCCTCCTCCTTTATGATTGGCTGTTCTTTTGTTTTCTTTTACAAATAAAATATTTACCTTTGCTTCAACTCGACATCCAGTCTCTCCTTCATTCTGCCTCCAACAAACCACTATACACATTCTTCTGCATATTAGGTCTACAATTCTTCAGATTTTGTGAAGCTCAGGTAACTGTGAATACTACAGATTAATATTACGTTAATAACTGAACACTAAGAAAACATAAAGTTGTAATTCGAAAACACTTTTACCTTCTCTCACACTTTTTTTTTACACTAGTTATTGCTAAAGAGTTCTTTACACAACAAGCAAATACACCAATACATCTGAAGCTGGAAAATGGCATATACAAGATATTTTTGATATTACTGTGGGATTTAATATAGACACACATAACTTGATCTGACAGTCTTCTTGAAGCATATGTATATTGTTATAAATCAGTATTTTTGAATAAGAGAAAAATACTGCCACCAATTTGATACTCTGTCATTTAATTTATGCATATGTAATTGGACTTTGTTTCCCACAATAAAAAAACCTGATAACAACTCAAAAGTACTTGAATTTCTTTTTAAATTGTGGTATACCCAATTTTTGTTTTCCAAGCATCATGATTATACTTTTTCAGTAAGTCTAGATATGATCTTGTTTTTTTATTTTTCAAACACAGCCGAGTTCAATTGCTGATCTTTTATTACAAACTTTGGAGAGTAAAAAATATGTTAATACATTTCTTTCTAAAAAAAGCGGCTTTACTGATACAATGTTTAAACACATCACAAAAAGTATGTGCTTAGAACTACCTGTATACATGTATTATTTCTGACAGTAGTTTGCCTGAATGTGTATAACATTTGTATTTCAAACTTAAACTGTAGATAGTTTTATTAAATTTTACTCCCTATGAGGTAGAAAATGTTAAGGTGAAAAAGTTATTAAATGCATTTGTTTTTGTATATACAACTAGAGTAACAAGTAAAAAAAATAGCAGAAAAGTAAGGATCATATTTATAAATATATATTTCTATTCAGTAAAAGTTTCCTGAAACTTAAACATTTTTTCATAAAACTTTTAAGTCAAGTGGCATGTTCAGGTCCTTATGAAATTCTTATTCTACAGAATCGGAAGTAAACTGCTCATAATACACTATTCGTGTTTCTTGTATGATTGTTGTATATTCCTTTCCTTTTCAAGAATGGTCAGAAACAGATAAGTGTGAGTTAGATGGTGATATCATTCAGAACAACTCATCTACCTCTACACTAACAGATCAGGGAGCAGATGGAACTCTACTTGACTGTAAGTCATATGGATATTTGTATACTATTTACTGTTTTGTATTTAAGAAGTGCATCAGACTTGCTTGTTTTAAATGTATTACCTTTCCTCTGTATGTTGTTCTTAATATTTTTACCTTAACATCTAATCTACCACTGTTTCTGTAACAAGTTCACTAAGACAAGTTCTTTTATTACTGTGTAGAATGACATAGATGAAGGAAAGGTCAATAAATTATTTCAATTTGCTGATGATATTTAAGTTTTGGATATTGCTGGCTGTGATGAGGATGCTGCTGTTTTGCAAAACAATTTGGATTATGTGGTGAGTTGGGCAAATATATGGCTTTTTTATTATAATAAATGCAAAGCAATGCATGTGGGATATCACAATTTGAATTATGAGTATAATTTTGATGGGAATAACCTTAACAGTATTATGGAAGAAAAAGATCTTGGTGTTCTGGTTCATCAGTCTCTTAAGCCATCCAAACAATAGACTGTTGGTAGTAGCAGGCAAATAGAATTTTAAGTTGCATCTACAGAAATATTAAATACAAATCTAAAGAGGTTATAATGTCATTGGTAAGGCCACATTTGGAATACTGTGTTCATTCTGGAACTCTTTACCTTAGAAAGGTCATTGAATTGTTGGAAAGGGATCAGCGGAGGGCTTTAGAATGATACCTGGGATGGAAAGATTGTTATATGAGGATAGGTTAAAAACTACCTGAAATTGTTTTCTCTTGAAAAAAAACAACAAGGGTTAGAAGGGATCTGAATGGGCGTTTAAGGTTATTAAGGGAATTGATAGTGGTGATGTTTAACCTTTATTTTTTTTGGACTTAATGATGAGAATAGTAAAACTGTTGAGCAGCCTTCATATTCTGCTCACCTTTGCAACACTAGTAGAAAGAAATTCTTTTGATAGTGCTTTTTCTTTATAGTACCACTTGTTTGGGATGAAAAATATCCTCTGCTTGAAATGGTGTGGTCTCCTACTAAGTGATGTTCTCCTAGCCTCTTTTTTAGTGGTTGACATGGTCCTTGTGTTTTTCCATTTCTGTCACTATATTCTCAGAAAGGAGCTTATCTTTTGCATCTCTTTCTCAATGCTGGTTCCTTCACTATCTTTTCCATGTGAGATTCTAGCTATCTGTTCTGTGGAGAGGTGAATAGCATTTCTGAAATTAATTTTTTTCTTTCCATAAAATGTATTTCAGATAGATACATACTTCTCCACAGAATTTTGTGCTCATCTTCCCTACTTATGTTGTGTCTCTTTTTCCTTGTCAAAGTGCTCAGTTGGAATACTGTGCATGAAGGATGTGTCACATCCCTGTTGGGATAGGGGCGTAGTCTAATGCTGATTACATCATAGACTGGTGCAGTACAAAAGTTACATGTAGGGTGGGAGTTTCATTCAAAGGCTTGACACATGCACAAAAAGTTTTTTGGCAGTAGAGCAAGATATTAGCTAACTGTTCAGTAGAGAAGTGAGTATCTATCTAAGATACATTTTCAGGTAAGGAAAACTAACTATGATATTATTTTGTATGTATTATCTTGTAGTTTAAGAACTATCAAAAAGCACAATTCTGTATAGTTATAGAATTAAAGAACAGATATGATGCATGATGAATCTTTTATAAAGCATGGCTTTATTAGTTGATGCATGTATAAGTATTATAAGCTGGCAATCTGCATGAAGTACTTGAATATTACTATACTTCAAAAATTCTGATGAAAAAAAATCAAAATTGTTACTAGTTCCTACTCAAAAGGTTAGCTCAAAAGGTTTCTTTAAGGATATTTTGTTGAAGTATGTATCACATGTAAAGAAGACTGGTAACCTTCTGAAAACATTGCATTATTTCTGTTTTTAACTTATCTAAAATTTTATCTTGACTCGTTTTCAGAGATTCATAGTTTGGCATTAGTTTTCAGTCTGTAGTAAAAGCCTTTTGGAAGGTGTGGTTCAGGATCTTCTTCTCAAGTGTGCTATAAAGCTGTTAGTTCCTCCTCTTCCCTGTTTCTATTCCCGTCTTTTTGTACTTCGAAGAAAAACCAGGGATTGGCATTCTGTTACAGATCTATCCAGTCTCAACTGCTGTTTTGAAGTTCTTTGGTTCACCATGGAATCTTTCCTGTCTTTTCAATGGGCTTTTACTGCAGATCTTTAGATGATGAAGTTCGATGTGTCCAATTCTTCTCTTCATATCCCCATTTCCTCTGTATTCAGTAATTATCTTTGCTTTGTCCACAGGGAAAATATTTATCAATTGTAGACTCTTCCTTTTGGATTGACCTTGGCTCCCTATGTTTTTTTGTCAGATGGTCAGGGCCTTTGCCTGATTTCATCTGCATGGGCTTTGTTTCCATTATTACATGGATGACTGACTCCTTCACTTTCAGTCTCTTCCATCAACGTGCAGGTTTTCCTCAGGAAAGCAGCTTGGGTGGGTTGGCTGGTTAAGGTAGAGAAGTCTGTTTTCACTCTGATTCAATACCTCGTTCATCTTGGAGTATTCTTCAATTCCAATCTCAGTCAGGCTCAGACTTTTCCCTTTTGATTGTGTTCCATGGAACTTATGATTTGGAAGTTTCACAAGAGGTTCATTTTCTTTTGGGGACTTGGGCTTCCTTGGAGGCTCTTATTCCCCTTGACCATGCTCACATGCAGCCTCTTCAGTGAGTCCTTTAAGATCAATGAAACCTCACCTCTGGATTACTCAGTATCCCTTCCTCCTTCCCTCCAGATCGATTTTGCCTTGTACTTGGACAGTGACAACACAATGGCTTGTGTCCCTCTTCCTCCTCCATGCCTGGAGGTGAATCTTTTTATGGATGCTTCCCTGTCGGGCTTGGGGACACATTGCAATGACCAAGATAATTCAGGCTGTTGGTCTATAGTTGAGTCAAGTTTTCATATCAATCTTCTGGAACTCCTAGCTGTCGAGCAATGGATCATTTCCTACCGGTTTTGAGGGGCAAACCAGTTATGATCCACTCAGACAACTGTAATGTTGTCTCTTACATTACACAACAAGGAGGCATCTGGTCATAGTCACTGTGTTTTCACACATTCGATGGCTGTGGGCACAGAGCAGCATGTCTAACGTGTGTCTAACAAATTACAGTTTTTTACAGTAGCAAATTTTTTGTTGTCCAGTGTATCTTATGATTTTTTTTTTCCATAAAATTAGAATGGAAAAATAACAACAATCTAAATAAACTTATATTATCTATTGTTGTTCATCTTTAGTCGAGATCTTCTACACGTGAACTCAGATTTAGAATATAGTACTAAAAATGGAGTTCTTAAAAAACTATAATTTTTTCAATAAAGGGTACCACTTTTAATGTATAAAAACATTACAATTTATATCAGCACAATCCAAACACTTTTCCCATGTAGTAATTCCCAGAAAATTCCTTTTTTAGAAAATGTTCACTTTTTCTGAGTTTTTCAATGAGATATGAATACTACGATTAGTGATTACTAGCACAAACAATCGTCTGTAGGGCGGCATTTCTGCTAGTACAGTCAATGTTTGACGTTATCAAAAAAGTACGACTTTTACCCATTAAACTGTCCAAGTTAACTTAATTTCACAGTATAAATCTATTGTACTGAATTGATTGCATGGTATTTCACATAGTGCCAATAAAATATTGAGATATTAAATTACCCCGAATCACTTGAGTTTTCTCCAGTAGCAAATTTTTTGTTGTCCAGTGTAATTGCAATGTAATACATTATAGTTTACTACTAGAAAATCAGAGCATTGGGAAATACATCTAGAGTACAGACCCTATGGGCAGGTGACCAATAATGCTTTCTGTGTTACACCATATTTCAAATGAATAATAGTAGCATAGTAGTTTGGTTTATTTAACAGTTAAGGAAAATTGTTCATAAACATAAATTCAAAATAGTAAACACCAATAAATTACATGTACTTTAGTAAAGAAAATAAGTTTGTATAAAAACTGAGGTGTATAAATTTTCCTTAGAAACAAACTATAAATAATCACAAGTTTCAATAAACAAGAGTAAATTGAAAAAAAGAAATAATTATAACGTGTTTTCTAATTAAACAGCTTCTGATGAAGTGGATCACACTGACAGTAAAGAGGTTGAGTCTAGATCCTCTAGTTGTAGGTAGGATTGCTGATCTTATGCATTTGATTTGTGAATTTGTTTGAAAATGTATCATCACGTTAGTTTTCATACAGAAAGTATGTGGGTGCATGTCTTTTCTTATTAGATGTGTAAATCTACAATTTTTTTTTGCTATAAAATGGTAGACAAACTATTTTCAGTGATATATGAGAGCCTAAAGAATATTTAGATTAAATAACCTAAAATAACTTAAGAAATTTTTTTAAAGTTTTATAATTTTGTTCTTTTTCTACATCGAAAATGTGTTAAATTTAAACGCAGTGTACAGTTTAAATTTTCTTTTCAACATTTCTTCTACAGGGAGAGTAGTCAGACGACCTCAACAGCACCTCCTCTTGTTGGTAAGCTTCAGATGCTAGAAAATGGTGCTGAAAGAGAAGCTGGTCTGTTGCAAAGCACGTGTAAACTACAGGATCAAGAGTGAAGATGAACTTCTCCAGTTATTCACCCACAACCCTGTTATGGACAGGGAATTGTTCTCATAATAACAGTATTGTTTACAAATATCACATTTATAAACAGAAGGGTTTAACAACAGTAATAACCTCTTGCAGCCCTCTCCCTATGTGTGCTGGGTTTATAGAATTTTAGAGTCTCTGGTTTATAACCTAATTAGAGCATTATAATCTGAAGTTATTGTTACAAAATAACTTGAACCTAAGTGCATGGAATGTGTATCAAGTAAAATTCTAAGATAAAAAATTTTATTCATGTCCATGAGTTAGTGCTTAAAATTAAAATAAGAATATTTAAGATAAGAAAAAAGATGTTTTTTTATAACATTTAAAATATATAAATTTATGTCATTCATTTTTAAGTGATATATATAAAGGAAAACTAAACTAAAGAAAATTCAGCATAAGATGTTACGTAATAATGTCTGAAGCCAGTATCATATACATTTAATATAGTCAAAATATTAGAAGCTCTCAAAGTCGTGAAATATTACACTTTACTTTGTTTAATTTTTTTGGTGAAATAAACTGTAATATTAAATATATTTGCTCCTATTGGAAACCAAACAAAATTGCAATTTAGAGATATATCACCTTTTCTCAATCCAACTGCATCTCTATGCCCCACTCCTCGTCGATTGATGTCACCACTATGTAAACAACAACACGTGCTTCTACCATGGCTATCATATGACAGTCTGTTCACGTCTTTCTCTTTAACTTTGGGCTGGCATCTTTCAACATCTTACTGTGCCTCACAACAAAACACTCATCGCGTTTAATTAAACAAAATTAAGCCCAGAGGCTTCTTCCACATCCCCCTTGGTTTAAACCTTTTCATCACGCGAGGTGAAGAGAAATTAAAGTTTTTGACTATCTCGAATTGTCTTTCAGGCCCCAAGTTTTTATTGAGGCTTGAACCTAAATTATTGACACTGAATGGATTGGAACTTTGTGTCTCCAGGTATGGAAATCAGCTTGGTGTAGAAAGATGTGTGGGTGTTACTCTGCACTATAGATTTTAGTCCTCTGTCAATATGTCAGTATACTATTATGATGTTTTCTCCAAAACGATCATTTAATCTTTAAGAAAATACATATTACTTTTACATGATTGAAACATAGTTCTTCCTGCCAGTGGAATGTTAAGCCGTGTGTTGTTGTTTTTAACTCTTCATTATTTCTGTACAAGGAACACTGTCTTGTGGACTAGAATTAAAAAAATAGTAATCTGTAAACGATAAAGACTGGGAACAATTTTACAAAAGAAATATATTGCAAGCAGTGGTGTCCATAAGTGAGGAGATGGAAGAGCAAATCCTCTGTCATTTGCCTTGAGTAATATTTAATAACATCATCTGTTTGAGAGAAAATAAGGTCAATTATTTCTTTTCTCTCATCCCATACCCATGTGATTTGCTAAATAGGATTTGTCTCTATGCTATTAACCTCTAACTTAATTGTAGAAAAACTGGGGGGAGATAATTTGTTCAAATAAGGGGACTTTTCAATCACATAGTGTGGATGGGCACCACTGATTCCAATTACACTGTTCTCGAAAGTGTTCGTTTAAGCTAACAATTTTACATTCTAGTCCTTTAATATGATTGTCATTTCAATGTTTAAAGTTCATCCGTAATCATAATTACCCTTTATTGTTTGGCTGAACTTTATAATAATAGTAAGAAAACAACGAGTATTGTCAACTTCTGGGGAATATGTTAGTATGTCTGTAATTAGTTATTTGAAGTATATGTCTCGTTGATATTTTGCCTCTGCTGCGTGAATGCAGATTTCCAACAAATAAAGTTTATTTTATCCCATTCGTTTCTTGTTTATTTTTAATTCATTCTACATCATACTTATTCCGTGCAAACACTTTCTAGCTTAAATTTTCTGCCTTGGTGCTTTCAGCTCGAGTAAGAAGAGCTGGGCACTTTTAACTAAAGAAATGCTTGAAGAATAAGACAACTTTCTGACATATTTTACTAATGCCTAATCAAGAAATGGGATAAGACAGGTTTTAGAGCATTTATCTAGCTGTTTGTAAAGTTTGGCTTTCCATTTCTCAGTCTTCTGCTTTTCAGATATTTAAGTGATCTTGTCTTTTGCCAAAAGATTTGGAAAAAAATGAGATCACCTGAGCAGTCATCACCATTGTGACAGAGGGGGGGATCTTATACAACAGCAATGTTGGGCACACAAAAAGTACCTCAGTGATCTATCTTGCTGAAAAGATAAAGTTAATAGTTCTGACCAATGCATAATACTGGTTCAGGATCTGGTCAAAGAAGCTGTCTACTGTTTCATGTGATAGTTGTACTGTTATCTTATTTTAACTATCCTCAAACTCAGCAACTGGGAGTTCCCCTGTGAAAATGTTGATGAGAAGACATCTAAAGTACTATTTAAATTTATTGAACTCAGATAAAGACAGTCAAGCACAGGAGGATCAGATGAAGCAGAAAAGTATTCATGTTAAAGCCAGGCCGTTGTGCCCATGAGATTTTGTATATGCAAGAAAATTTGGAAGTGGGACTCCTTGGATGCCCAAATGGTGTTAAGAGAGGGGGGAGAAGTTGCTTATTCGTTGATATCTGGACCATCTAAAGAAGTGTTGTGATAGACCTTTAATATTTAAATTATTAAACATATAGAATTATGTTGAATAAAGAATATAAATCGATTGCTTTGATATAATAAACATACGGAAAATACAATTATAGGTATTACACAGAGATGTCAGTTATTGTTATGTCTGGTGCCTAGATAACTATTTTAAATCAGTGTTCCACAGTTTTAACGAATTTTTATCACTCAGTTCATTGTTACCCGATGAAGGCTCCTGTAAGAGGGCCGAAAGCTCACAAGTAAAAGTATTTTAACATAGAGAAAAGTCCATGTATAATTCTACACATGATTTTACCTACATTACGAGTCTTAAACAAGGAGTAGCATGTTGTTTATTTGTATACCAAATTCACTTTGTTTATTGGGTCTTTGATACTCAAGTGCCACAAAAGATCATATTTATAGTTTCTGACTGTCGGATGTCTCAATTTTTTTTTAGGAATTTTGGACACCTTTTTGTAGCATATTTTCAGGCTCTTTTGTGGCTATATTAATTGAGACTCCATTTGCTGAGGGTTATAGTATGGATTCTCTACTATGAGTTGTTCAGGATACTCATCCATTCTGCTGCAAAGAGGAAATTTCACTTACTTCATTCCCTCTCTTCAAGATAATTGGCTAACATTTAGGCTTTGTTTCTTAGTTATATAAGGATTCCTTCAAAATACTTACAATGATTGTGCCCAACTAACTTTAGTAACAAAGTTTTCTAATTTCTCTCTTATTGCAGTCTTTTATATTTTGGTTTATTACAATACAGATTTATTGTACCTCTCTACGTTTATTTTATTCAGGAGCAGCAACAGCTTATTCCCAATGACAAGGCTGAGATGGTGGTTGCACTTTTATGTTTTTGTGGGGGACACGTACTGTAGTATTTAAAAAGTGAAATAGCTTTAACAGTAAGCATTGTTCATTGCCTCCCACCTCATTTTTACTGCTGCCTCTGGGGTTTTGAAGGAGTTTTACCTAATCAACATGATATAATGTCCAGGAAATAGTTCAGGAAATGTTGGGTTAATCACATCCACCACACAATTACACAGTTTTTTTCAAATGTTATTTTTTGTCTCCGGTAATTATTAATAATGTTTATTTCTTACTCGTCCTCTATGATTTGAGGTATGTCAGATAGGACCGCCCACCATTTAATTCATTTAGAGGTTCAAGAGTTTATCTTCCAGTTAAGTTTTATTAAATACCATTTCACATTACTTAAGGTCTACACACACACTCAATGTAAGAGCATCCCCAACTTTTTTAGGGTAACCATATTTCCTTTTCTTTTGTAGTGGAACAACTGATGTACATACATCTACTAGGATTAAAATATAGAAGAATGAAGAAGCAAATGAACAACAGTATAAAGGTTATGCAAATAATATGTATGAACCAATGTAGTGCTATAACAATGTTGTCCAAGCCACTCTGATGTAAATTCAGTCGATGTTGTGTGCTAATTCAACCACAGATGTTAGTTCCTACAGTAAGATTCAGTCATTAAAGCTATCTATAGTTGTATTGTGTCTTATATTACCTTCCATATGGTGGCTACTTTATGAAACACTGAGCAGAGATATTTCCAAATACATGTGACCCAATTTCATGATTGTTCAGCTACTGATTAACAAGCATTGTGATAGAAGTTTTAAGTTTTCAACTGCATTTACTTTCTAACTTGAAATACTTAACACTTGTTAGTGAAGCCTTGTTTTTGTCTCATTATGTACAACGTTTTTTCTGCTGATTGTGTGGCCATCTTTTTCTTATTTTATCTTCACACCAAATGTTGTCTTTTACATTCCACTTGCAACAAGTCACTGCACTTGTTCTTCCACAGATTAGTTCTACAAATCTCCTGCTATTGAAAAGATTAAGGAGCTGGATGCTTGGTTTAGAAATGGAATACCACAAAATAATAAAATAATTGTGAAATTTATAGGATGCTTGTGAAACTTTATTAAACACATATTTATCACAACATACATGAATCTAACAATCTGAAATTGTTTCGGTTCAAAAAAACAAATCATGAAAAGTAGTCCTAATCAAAATTGACTTTCCACAGCCAATGCAATAAAACCATTTGGAAAACAACATAATAACAAGAGCTACAAGATAAGAACCAAAAATATTGTTAATAGTAATACAGCCTTGACTGTCTGTACCTTTTCTGATACTAATTATTGCTAACATCGACATATTTGGTTATCAGGCTGTCATTACAAGTTCAAAAAACAATTAAATTTGTCAATTAATTCGGGAAAGATTTAAAGCATTTGTGCTTGTATTTGAAGAATGGGGCTTTTTTTGAAGAAAATGATTCCAAAGCTCTCTTGCTGACTTTTCTTGAAAAACCTACAAATATTATAAGACAGAATAAAATGTTCTAGTCACTTAATAATTAAACTAATGCTCAGTAATTATAATTTAAAATAAACTGGTGTGAAGCAACAATTAGATTTTGATATAATTATTCTATTTTATAAATAAGTAAAAGAACAGCTACATACACCATATTACCAAAAATACTAAGACAACATAGTTTGGAGGTTGTTCTGTATTAATTGCTAGGTTTCAATGTTTAAGGAACTACACAATTTTTATTGGTAATCACAGTCTGTACTCTACTAACACTTTCCAATAACTTTCTGTGTATAAATTGTGGAATACAACTAAATTTTTCTTACAAAGAGGCTCCAAGTATAGTGAGATATCAGGGTCTGTACTTTTTATTCTTCACACAGCATTTCAAAACATCTCATATCAGCTCATTTATGTGCATGTCATTTCTCAACATATTTCAAAATTTGCTATACCTAATAACTATTCCTATTTTCTGAAACCCCATTAACTCTTTTCCCATGTAGCATCCTAAATTAAAACTGTCTTTGTGTGGGAACTACTGAAACTTGCCAGAAATTCAGTGGGAAGCCGGAGGGGGTCATTAATAGATATAGTATGCTGCCCAAGCCTACCAAAAGTCTAGGGATATTTTCTAGAGGCCCATGAGAGTGGCATTAAATTTGTATGGTATGCATCTAATCAGCACAGAAAATTTAGGCAAACATTATCTATATTTTCAATCACTTATGAGTGTGTGTAGCATCATTCCAAAACTATGTGTGTGTGAACACATTCTTCCCCAGGGTCCATGTTGGTTTTCAGTGATCCTAGTGCTGCTCCAAGACTTTTGGTCTATAATAAGTAGCTGTGTACAGTGCAGTGTTGTATGTTTGTGTATATATATATTTCATATATGTATGAAAAGTTTTTTTCTAGTTTGAGGGGCTGTGCACAAATTACAATCCAAACTAGTTTAAGATATGAACCTTATCAGAGAAAGATTCTATGATGTTATCATAGCTTTAACAATACAGTTTGGTACACACATACATACATATGACACAATAAGACACATAAAACTGTAGTTTTTAAAAGATATTTTTCACAGAATTAAATTTTTCTTTGTTACACACCTTTAATTTATGGTATCTTATCTTAATTCCACAACGATGACACATAGATTATGACATTTACAAAAAATATTAAACAAAAATAATTTAAACAAATTTAAAAAGGAAACAATTGCAATTTAGAATATTTGCTATGTGCATATAAAAACCAAAGATCTTTAATCACTTACATGAAAGAAAAAGATGAAAAAGCCTTGGATAGTTGTGGTCAAGGTGAAAAGGTACTGGAATACTAAAAGTGTTTCAGATGTTTTATACATAACAGACAGAAGGCCAAACATCCACGTGGCACCTGAAAGGCAAAATGTTCATAGTAAATTCTCTGTCTATTTTACTTGAAAAAGTAATGTCTAAGACTTATAACATAACATAATAGTTTGGGACAACATGGGATCTATTGATCCATCTCAGCTGTTCCATCCTCTAAACTAAATCAAAATAATTAAAAAAAGATTAAACACAGCCCTTTTCATTCATATACTTATCAAGCTTTTTCTTAAATTTACTGCCTCTACAACATCTGAAGGCAACCCATTCCAAAGGCCAACCACCCTGTTAGAAAAATAAAACTGTCTTTGCTAAAGATGACTCCTACCTTGCTAAAATTTATATTTGTGTCCCCTAGTCCTACCATTGTTAGATATAAAAAAAGATGATACATCAACACTATCAATTCCCTTTACAATCTTAAACACCTCAATCAGATCCCCCCTAACTCTTCTTTTTTCAAGAGAAAAGAATGTGAGAGATTTCAGCCTCTCCTTGTATGACAACCCCTCCATCCCAGGCACCATTCTAATAACCCTTCTCTGAACCCTTTCCAACAACTCAATGTCTTTCCTAAGGTAAGGAACACAAGACTGAACACAGTATTCCAAATGTGGCCTAACCATTGACCTATACAATGAAATTATAACCTCTTTAGACTTGTATTCACTATTTCTGTAGATATAACCTAAAATCCTATTTGCCCTACCACTAGCAACAGCACACTGCTTGGATGGCGTAAGCGACTGATCGACTATTACACCAAGATCCCTTTCCTTCATAACACTATTAAAGTTATTCCATCCAAATTATACTTATA